GGAGGATGGACCTAATTGACTGCTTCCTGCTTTGCGTTCCATCACGATCCCCAAGGTCAGCTGAGAGCAACCTCCTGCAAGTTCCACCTCTGTGCCACATTCATTTAGTGAGAGTACACAGGAGGCTGTTCTCCAAAGTAGCTCCTCTGCTTTGGAAATCCCTTCCCCTTAAGGCCACCAGAGCCTGAGCCTGGACGCCTTCCAGAAGTGTCATAAGACCTTCTCATGTGAGAAGCCTTTTTGCAGGTGGAATTCAGTTCTGGGATAGTGTTGGAGAGTTGTTCTATTACTTATTATTTTAACATTTTATCTGATTAAAATGTATCTTATTTTTACTGTAAGCCACCCAGTCTTTTTTGGGGAAGGCAGCATGAAGATCAAACAAGCAAAACAACAAGCTGCTCAGCCTGGGGGGGCCCTGCATACATCATGGAAGAGAAGCTAAGCGTAGATGCCTGCTATATGGAGACTTCCTGGAACGTTCCATTTGGACTTAAGCACCTACAACTGTATATGTGCACTGCTTAGACACCTGTTTTTCTGGATCTTGCTTTTTCATCTTTTAAGGTTTAGTTAACTAAATAAAAGGCAAAATGTGCAAATAAATACCTGAAAGTACGACTCTTGACTCTTCGTAATCTTAAGACAGAGCAGAATGAGTTTTTAAATCAATCTTCATCTGCACATTAACATTTTTATATTACCCTGTAAAAAAATAAAATGTTATAGTTAATTAAATCGTAAAGGCATTTTAAGAAAACATCAAAGATTTGGGCCCTGCATTTTCCAAAGTGTAATAGCACCTCCTTTCCACCACATGCCTTTTGGAAAGGTGTAATTATGCTTGATCATGTCCGACAAATCAATATTAGTTTCTAAACATTCCTATTCTGCTGTTTCTTCCACCTTGTGTCAGTGTTTCTGCTCTTAATTACTTAAAACCTGCTCTTCTATGAGCCAAAATGTGATGGAATCTTTTGAAGTCCTACTTTATTGTATTGCTATGAATATTTCAGCTCAGTGCATAGGTCTACTCTTGCACTGCTTTCACCTTCACTGCCGCTGGACAATCTCCAGAGCAACATGCTCAATTGCAAAGATGTGTTTTCTACTAACTTCCTGCAAACTCACCTTGGGTGCTGAAAGCAAAGCTGTGTTCCTTCCTTCCTGTGTCATCACCAGGGAAACATTCTACCAAATCAGGCATCTAGTAATATCTATACAGCCCCAAAGCCTTTGTGGGATTGCCTGGGTGTAACCAATTGGAATGTAATGAACACTGGTGGTGATGAACAAGCAGAAATAGAACGCAGCTCTCTCCCTCCTGCCTGTACAGACAGAACATAGCTTTTACTGCTTTTCCAGCTATCTAAAATTAGCAAACAGAATTATGCATAAGGCAAATCCAGCATAAAACATCACCATCTTTTACAGTCACATTTCAGAGCAGAATGGTATGTTAAGTACATTTAACCCACACAGCAGTTCAGTATCTTTCTAAAGTTTCCATTATTAATGCTCAAGTTTAAGACACTTTTGTTGTTCAGGATCTTTTAAAAAAAGACTTTTTCAATGTAAATATGAAATTTAACTACACTGCAGCCATCACTGTAAATCACAATCCAGTAAATAAGAGAAATTTATTTCTGTTATACGTACTGATTCATATGGTATTACAATGTGTCTTACTGTAAAGCACTCAAAGCTCCACAGTATTTATTGAAGAACCAAAAGGAAAATCCATCCGTAACTCTGGGTATCCCTAATAAAGCTCATCATTTAGGATAATAAATCCAGGGCATTTAAATGATGCCAAAAATAACCCTCTATTTAACTCTCATTTTTCCTTTTTGCAAACTCTTGAAGGTTTGACCAAAAATAAACATTGCAGTTCATGCAACTGAACACTAGGACTGGTAGAGCAGGAAGGTGAAAGAAAGGAAACATGCTGTAGAGTGAGGGAGCACAAATGAAACACTTCCATGTGGAAGGAACTCTAGTTTGGGGATCTCTGGTCACCACAACTAAGAACAACAGATGTATACTTTCAGGCATTGGCTTTTTAACAGACCATTTAACAAAACCTGGAAAGCCACCCTCACAGACAACTAATTCATCTCAGAATACTCCTGTTAGATGTAAAACTATAGAAAAGTAGGGCTAAAAGGTACCTCCAGAAGTCAATTAGACCAACCTCCTGCCTAAGGCAGGATTATGCATATCTAAACCCGTTATCTAACCTAACAAAACTACAGAGTCAACCCTGACACAACCACAAGACATAATACCCTAACCTGCCACAGATGAAGTCGGGGGGGCCATGGCAGCCAACATCCTCCTACTTCAAAAGTTGTTAAAAATGCACCGAGAGCGCCAAGGAAGAGGCCTCCCCTCCCCCAAATTTCCCCCTCTCTACGCTACAGAGAAAGGCAAAAACTCCCACAGTCCATAACAATTTGACCATGGAGTAAAATTCCTTCCTGACCCCAAATACGGCAAGATCAGTCTGACCCTGACTGAAGGAGCAAGATGCTCGGCCAGGAATCTCCAGTTAAATCGCAGCAGGAGCACTGGCACACCCCAGCCGAAATCCCCAGCCTTGGCTGCTGCCTACACCAAATGTTTCCGAGAAAGGCAAAAACAAAAATAGGGCAGTTTGGAAGCAGCAAGAGGAGAAAAAAAATCCTTCTTTTGCTTGAACCTCCAAAGCAAATCTCCACATAGTTGGACCAAAGCATTCTGATGAGTAGACTCAAAATGTAGCACACACGAAGTTGTATATAGGGGAAATTACAAAAGTATCCACATAAGTCCACATCCAAAATAAGATGTCACACATGCTTTAACAGGTACAACTGAAACAGCTGCCACAGATCATTAGCTGCTTTGGGTCTGATAAAGTTCAACACACACTTCATGATAGTCTTCATTCAATTAGAATTGCTAATAGAACTTCAACAAAATTATTCCAGTTACTTCCTAACCTAGAAATTTTGCAATACTAAGGAGCACAGCTTTGTCAACTTTAAGTCAGTATAAAGTCTTCAGGAACTAGTCAGGAGAAGGTCAACCAACACAGCTAGTCCAGCTTCTATCCCATCTCCCAAACTCCAGGCTGATATGGTCAAAGAAGTTTGAAGAAAGTAAACAGTGCCATATTTATTTCTAAAAAAAAATTCAGTAAGTTTTCCATAAATATGAAATTTCACAGCATCCTATTGTTGACTAATATAATAAGGAACAAGGACAGATTTCCCTTTTCAATGGAAGGTTCAACTCTACACTAAATTAAAAGAAGTAACCAAGTGTCATTAACAAAGCAAGCCATTTCACTGCTGACTTTCACTGTCCAGAAGGGACAACAGTTAAATGAGCAGTTTGTGTTTTTTAAGCACTTCTAATATTTCAGTGAGTAGCATTAGCCAAATCAAGGAGGACACCAATACTGGTGTGTGAATACAGAAGACACTATATACCAGAAACAAAGACTCCATGGGCATCCCAGTTGTTTCATCTGTAATGCAGTAAACAAACTCATGAAACAATTCTAACCATTAAGATGAAAATCATTAAGCTTCAAGAGTAACCCGGCTATGTGTAACTTTGCAGGTCTATGGTACAACCAAAGAAACTCTTGCCAGTGCAGCAGTATATGTAAAGACTCAAGAATTTTAAACCATCACAATTAGTTCATCATGGTAGGTATGTTCTCTGATGTCTTGTGACTGAAAACACCAGAAGCCCAGAATAACCATGCCTATGTTGACAAAACTATGGGAGAAGGTGTTTAGGAGCTTTCTAGAAATGGTCACAAATTTTCAACAGAACTGCCCTCTGAAAAACTATCCATTTTCAATTAACGTCTGTGGGAATACTACCAAAAATGAATGGAATATAGATATATTATGTACAGTGTGTCTAGCTATAATATGTACAACTAAAAAAATACATAGGATAGATCTAGAATTGGATAAATACTGACATCTATGAGCACTATCACCATTTATTACATTCTCCAACAACAGTGTGCAGTGGAGGCAAAGTCATGCAGACAGCGGAGAAAGACCCTCAGGATTCACATAGAGCCAATAGTTTGTCCGACAGTCTCCATCAACAAAAATAACAAAAAACAGAAACTACTGTAACTTACTTGAATATAGGATGACCCTAAGTATAAACAATGCCAATAATTAGATTCTATATAAGGAAAAATGATAAATATTACTGAAATCTAATTACTGAAGATCTACCTTGAATTCGTCCCCCTCCTGCTGCTACAGCAGGGAAATTAAATCAGGGGACAGTGTCAGGTAGCTCTTGTCCTCTTGACACCCACCCCC